TCCGCACGCAGCTCCCCCAGAACCTGTGATCAAGTCTACCTTTTTTTTTTTTTTGCTCTTACTTAAGCCACCTCATTATTCTCTGTTTGGTATCTATACTGTTGTTATAGAGTTTACTTCAAGCTTTGTGGATGGGATTGCAAGATTTTGCAGTCTATACCCCCATGTGGATATTAAATCAGATCCCTGCCCAAAAGAAGGCGAGGTTTCCCCAAACTCTCTTTCAGTCCTCTTTTAGAGTCTTACTAAGGCTTTCCCATTCTGGAGTGCTCTCTTGGATGCTGTTTTGAACAATGTTTGTTGTGGAGGGGGACACCCAATCTTGAAGCCAGCCTTGCCAATCCAAGTCTTCAGTTAGTCAGTTCAGTCGCTCAGTGGTGTCCAACTCTTTGCAACCCCATGGACTACAGCAATCCAAGTTTTGGGTTCTTATAGAAGTCTAAGGCAAAGAAATTGAACGCTGGCTAGGTAATTACTTCTGGGAGCTGGGCTTTACAAAGGCAAGTGTTGGATATTTTTGTAAAAAGCAGTGACGTGTGTGGTCTAGTTATATGAATATGGACCCGTAGGACAAAATTTTTTTTTTTAACTGTCCTAACATAATACAAATTGTATTCCTGTAACTTAGGAGAGTTTTTGCAGTGGTAGCTGAAGATAGAACTTCAGGAAATGATTCCATGTAACCAGCTTAAATGGAAGAGAAAACTGTGAAGATATGCTATAGAAAACTTTAATCCTCAAAAAATGGCTTTGGGGTTTCCAGAGACCCTAATGGAAGAAGCATGTTCAAAGACTTTGAATAAGATATTCATGAAATGTGAATAGGAAAACAACAGATATTTATAAAGTAATGTATATTGTTGGATGACTTAAAAATATGTGTAATAGAGAGACTGTTATAAGTAGGCATTTGACCATTTCATCTAATCCCCCCAAAATATATCTGTTCCAGTTTGGCACGTTATATTTGGAATTTCTTTATTTGGGGGCATATGTGGTAGTGGTGGCCTGTGGCCAATGTGAATGGGTGAGGCCTGGCCCTAATCTTATGGGTTAAATAAAATCAATCTAGCCCTATACTTGCCTGGGAAAGCTATGTGTCCCACTCTTGGACAACTTTAAGGAGCTGAACAGAGAACAGTTGAGTATAGAATTATTCACCTTGCCTCAGCTATTTCATTAAATCAGCTTTCAAAACACAGAGCATCTGTTCCCTTTCTCCTTTTAAAATCTTTTTGGAAATTGACCTGGGGAGCCACGGAGTCACTTTAGAGAATTCAGCAGGTTTAAGGTGTTCTTTGCTTCCTCGGGAGGGAAAGCCCTAAGGCAGCGGATGGGGATAAATTCCCATGGAACTACTTGTTCCATGTGCCCGGGGTCCCGCAGTGACCCAGGTGGTTCTTCTGTTGCTCATACTCAGGATGAGGAGATGGTCCAAGGGCAGTGACCATGGCCAGGAATTCCCATGTGGAATGAGGTTGGGCCTGTGGACTTTGGCGCCATTGTGGAGCTTCTGTAGCTCCTCTCTCTGTGGAGAGCCCGACTGCTCATTTAGTTCCAGAGGGGATGCTTTAAGCAAATCTAGCTTTAGGTACTTTGCCAACCAGGGTTAAGGAGCAAGAATCCAGTGGGTTTGGAGAGGCCTGTTGAAAGAACAGCACACGGCCTGGCCGTTGCTCTCTTGTTGCTCCCGAGGCCCAGCTCTGCCCAGCTAGTGCCGGACAAAGAGGGTGCTTTCAGGGCTCTGTAAATAGTCTATTGTGCAGAGGAGGAGGTGGAGCAAGGACTGGCAGTGTCTTGCCAGCTCGGCCTGCTGCTTTAAGGCGAGATGTCAGGACTTCCTCATTTGCTGCTGCCAGGGCAAGGGTGCTATTTATGTGGGTTTGTTGGAGAGCTGCATTCCTGGTGAAGTAGTCCATCAAACCACTGTTACTCAACTGGATGAAAGCTTGAGGACCTTTAGAAGGAGAGAAACATCCAACTCACCCATTTTGGGGGTTTATAAATGACACAAGGAAAATAAAATGCTAATGTAAGTATCTGTTTGCAGAATCACTGAAGCTGTGTGTGTGTGTGTGTGTGTGTGTGTGTGTGTGTGTGTGTCCTTAGAAAATGATGCTCTTGTGAGTCACACAGAAAGTGACCCTGAGCCACTCTTTTCCTGGTGCAAATAGAATGGTAAGAGGTGAACCTTTGTGTACAGTGGGTCTTGAACCCACATGCTCCAAGGCTGGGGTGAAGGGGGGAGATGTTAGCAGCTCTGTAGGACATGGAGGGTGAGGTGGATTTCAGATGCCGAGCTCTCCTATTAATAATACCGTGGCATGTGTGTGCTGGAGGGATCTGTAGAGGCTGCCTGCTGTCATGATTCCTAACCTGGGGCGTGGACTGCAGGGACGTTGTGAGCCCCAGGTGCACAGAAGAGTATGCATGTCCTTAGTGGAGAGAGTCGGCTGCCCAGCAGAGGGTAAGATGAATCCTGTTGAGGAAAAAGTGTGAATGTAGTTGGGTTGGTGTCCATGTCTTGGGAGATAACTTTGGGAAGCCTTGGAAATGTCCAGCCTCAGTTTCTTCATCAGATTTTATATTATGATGTTTAGATAAGACACGCGAGGTGAAAACCTTTCCAAAACACAAAATTGATACTGTATTGTTTATCTCTTCTTCCCAAAGTTCAGGCAGGTGGATACTAGGACTTGTGTTTTCTGACTGTCATGCAGTGGGTTTTGATTCCCCTGCCTCTACATCTGTTTCCATCTATTTAAAGGCGTCCTTCACTCTGGTTCTTTGTGTTGAGCTCCTGCCAGGTTTTTCCCACCCTTGGGATGCTCCCTGTCATCCGTAGTTTTAGACTCCAGCTCTGTAGGAGATTCGGAAGACTCAGCTGAGTGAGCTCACGTTCTGTAGTTGTGGGAGTAGCTTTAGAGAAGGAGAGGCAGGCTGTCACTAGGCCTGTGTTGTCAAGATATACTGGCTGCTTAAGCCTTTAAGCTGATTGAATCATGTTCTTAGCAAGCTGTACCATGATTATATGCCTTGGCTATAAAAACTTCCTGAAATGATGATGTAGAAATTTGCTTTTGAAACAAATTAGGGAAACTATTCCAGCTAAAGCACCATTGGAACGGTAATAAAATCTGGGCTTTATTTTATAACCACATGTTGGCTAGTATGTGCGTCTTGTGATACTTCTAGAAGACCTGATGCAACTGTTTCAAAGGGTGCTGTTTGTGTTCACCTTGAGCATTTAAAGGCTGTTTGTTGCGGGCAATTTTCTTTGCTTATAGGTCTGCCTCCATTTCTAAATAGCCCAAGAGCCTTTTCCTTAAAAGCAGTTAATCAGAAGGGAAATGATTTATAATGCCCCCCCCATTCACATCTAAGAGTTGTTCTTTATGTGGTCCTGTATGAGATATTGCCTTTGTTCTTCATTGTGTGGACTTTAGTTTTCCCATGTACGACGTTAACCAGTTTGTTCAGCAGAGTTGATTTGCAGCTTTTTACCTGGCTGCCATCTAAGAAGTGTGAATTAAATTGATACTGAAGCTCCAATACTTTGGCCACCTGATGTGAAGAGCCAGCTCATTGGAAAAAGACCTGGATGCTGGGAAAGACTGAGGGCAAGAGAAGGGGGCGACAGAGGATGAGATGGTTGGATGACATCACCAACTCAATGGACATGAGTTTGAGCAAGCTCCGGGAGATGGTGAGGACAATGAANCTTTGGCCACCTGATGTGAAGAACTGACTCATTTGAAAAGACCCTGATGCTGGGAGGGATTGGGGGCAGGAGGAGAAGGGGACAACAGAGGATGAGATGGTTGGATGGCATCACTGACTCAATGAAAATGGGTTTGGGTGAACTCCGGGGGTTGGTGATGGACAGGGGGGCCTGGCGTGCTGTGGTTCATGGGGTCGCAAAGAGTCGGACATGACTGAGTGACTGAACTGAACTGAACAGAAGATAAAAAAGTTAATCACTTGTTTATGACAGTGTCTGTTTATGGGGGGATGATTTAACATTCTCACACAGGGCTGTGAGTCTGTTGAACAACTCCTTTAAATTCACATGATCTAGGTTTTATGAAAATGATTTCAAGGACTTTGGGGAGACAGGAGGGAAGGGCAGAAATATGTGTACTAAACTTGAAGTGCCATGGGTGATGAAGACAGCCAGAATGATTGGAGGGAAAAGGAGGTATGCACATTTTATGCATGTTTCTGTGCATCCGTAGAATTGCAATATTGTTTATGAAATCTAACCGCTTGGGGCTACTAGGACCTGGACTCTGTCTGCCTATCCTTAAAGTCTCGGTGTCAACACCCTCTCCTCAGAGGGGTCTTCCCTGATCACTGGATCTTAACAGTGCTAACACATACTCCACCTACAAACTGCTTTTTTAAAGTTTGTATCTCCCCTACTTGAACGTGGGCAAACCTCGGGAGATGGTGAGGGACAGGGAAGCTTGCAGTCCATGGTGTCATGAAGAGTTGGACACGACTTGGTGAGTGAACAACAGCAGTCTCCCCCAATAGCTGGTTAACATGTTGACAGCCCCGACCAGGTCATGAGCACCGTCTTCCAGCCCTCAGCCTACACTAGATGCTCACATTTGGTGAATGGCTGGGGTAGGTCAGTTCGAGCTATGAATTCATCTAGAATAAATCTGCTGTCAGCGTACAGCTGACAATCAGTTCCTTTCTTGATCTGTCTCATGTCTGTTTGACATGACCAGCCAGCATCTGATCATTCATTTCAGTGTTTTGTTTTATTTTTTAAATATGCCCATTGTCTCTCTTTACCGGGGAGGCGAGCAGAAAGAAACCAGTGTCTGTCTTCGGAACTGGCACCAGCAGTGACACTAACCAATGCCTGTCCCTGCCCATGGGTGGAGCAGTGGGGTGACTGCTCCCAGCTCCTCATTGGCCCACCCTCCACCGTCTGTTCTGAGAAGTCACATATGGATTTTGTCTGCTAGTTACCTTTAGCCCAGTGGGCAGCAGCGCAGGACTGGGCATGTGACGAATGCCCAGAGAGACCTTGGCAGGCTGTGCAGGCAACGGCTGAGCGCGGACACTCCCAGCCCTACCCCTGGCCCCACCCCCATGTCCTGGTCCCTTTCTGGGGCTGGTGTGTCACCCAGCAGTCAGCTGTCAGTGGCACAGACGGTGAGTGGCTCTGTGAGTGCTTTCTCTCCACAGTTGTGACCTGAAGAAATGCACTTAACCCGCTTCTTCTCTGTTGTCGTGTTAAAGCTGGAAATTGTGTCTGTGTATATGTGTGTGTGTTTTCTGTACGCCTGCCCTGGGCTGTGGGAGCACAAGGCTGGATGTGACATTGCCTTCTAGAAGTCCTGATGGCCAGTGAAAGCTCTTGATATTCTGCAACTCTGTAAAGCTATTTATACAATAATATAGATTTAAATTTGAAGAGGATATCTGTATCTGAGGGGGAGAGAGGAAACTATTTTCAGTCTTGGGACCTAGCTATTTAAAAGCACATGTAGTAAGGAGCTCAGACTACTATCTGAATTTATGATAAAGGTTACCACTTACTACATTATGGGGGAGTTTTTTGAGAAAAATCTTTCACATAGTTTACTAGGATTTCTTGCCATATATATGCCAAACATACTTGAGAGTGTTACTCATCAATCATTTTTTAATTAGAATTATTATTTCTTCTCTGTACTGCACATTAATTTTTTATATCATTATATGTTTATAAATTGTCTGTAATATTCAATTAGAGGCTTTTCTATATATGTGTGTGTTTGTGTGTGTGTGTGTGTGTTTGTGTGTATGTGTGACTGTTCATTTGATTTTCTTCTGTGTGTTTTGGCTTCTTAATTTTGCATGTAAACTCCTTATAGAAAAATGTCAATTTTTATTACTGTATCTCTTATTGTTCCTCATGCAGGACAAATATACAATACTAGTAGAGGAAATAATAATAATGCCCAGCTTAATTGAACACATTGTGGTGCCTTGCACCATTCTAAGTTCTTTATGTGAATCATTTAGTATTTATAAAAGCCCTACGAAATAGGTGCTGTTTTTACTGATGAAGAGACTGAGGACAGAGAGGGGAGTGATTTGTCCCCAGTTATTCAGCGAATGAACCAGGGAGGCAGGATTTGGCTCTAGAATCTGGGATCTTAAGTACTATTTTACACTTTCTTTCAAAGACTATTCTGTAATCTCTATAGATATTTGCTGAATGAATATCTCTAGATACTTATGCACACCCTTTTATTATTTAGCTATAATAGCTTGAGGAATATAAAAGACACTGTTTTATCAGGATAGCTGACTCCAGGTTCCCCTGCATCCACGTGGCTGCTTTTATGCTACAAAGAGTGTGAGGAACGTGAGAGACACCTCACACACACCCCGAAACCCAGAGTGACCTGTTTCACCAACTGGGGAGCTTGTGCTGCATTTTGTGAGAAAACTGATGGCCCTTGGGTGGTTTGGGCTTGTGTCTGCCTCTCTGTCCTTCTCCCCATCTGCCTTGATATTGAGAGTTGAGTGTGTTTGATCAGGTGGAAGAGAACAGGGAGAGAATGTAAGATGAGAAAATGGTAACTCATGCCCCTTATGTTAACATTTTACAGCAAGAATTCTGAGTGGCTAAATCTTTTGAATGCGGATAATGAGAACTTTACGCAAGCCGACAGAAGTAAAATGAATTCCTAAAGTGCTTTTAGAAAAGTGGGATTTGACAGCCAGGAGAAGGAGGCCTGAGCCATCAGCCCGTGGCCCTACTGCCCCCACTGATGCGCCAGCTATCGAGTTGATGGTCGTCCGCCTTGGGGAGTTTGGAACAGCTTCCCTCCTCCCTGGAATGAACATGACCTTTTTCTCTCTCACAGATTGTGGCTTAGGACGCTGCCAGTCCAGGACGATGCAAGCCCACGAGCTGTTCCGGTACTTTCGGCTGCCAGAGCTGGTTGACTTCCGGCAGTACGTGCGCACCCTTCCAACCAACACGCTCATGGGCTTTGGCGCATTCGCGGCGCTCACCACCTTCTGGTATGCCACGCGGCCACGGGCCCTGAAGCCGCCATGCGACCTGGCCATGCAGTCAGTGGAGGTGCCGGTGAGTGGGACCTGGCCGCCCCCAGCTTTCCTGCCTCCCTCCCCAGTTTCTAGGCCCCATCCTGGTGACATCCAGCAGGATCACAATCCCAAGCAAATATTTGTTCACCAGGGCACTTTGCAAACTGAAATGTGCTCCCCAGACAGAACTTCAGCTGCGATGAGAGGAAGAGGTCAAAATACAGGACAGAGGGATGCGTGTGGTGGTGCTGGTTAGGTGTCTGCCCACGTCACGCAGAGCAGAGGCTTATCCCAAGCTGCATGGGGCTCCTGCCCAGAGCTGGGCGGTATGCTTTGCCCAGAGGGCCCTGAGAGGGGAGAAGGCAGGCACAGAGTCCCCTCCCTCAGCCAAGAAGAGGGTCGTCAGTCGTTAGAGAAAGAAGGATTTCACCTGTGGTTGTCTGATACTTGGAGAACATCGTGCAGAGTTTGAAAGGGACTCGGGCATTCCTACTAGTGATAGAATGAAGCCAGTCTAGGAGCCTTCAGGAATAATGGAGCCACAGAATTTAGGATGGGCGAGAAAAAACAAGGACATTCAAGAAGTCAAGTTCAGTACTGTGCTTGCCGTTTAACTTGGGTGAACAAAAGGTCATGTTCTCATTGTTATAAAAATCTAGGTGGTGAGTGATGTTCCATAATTAGGGCTTCCTGGGTGAGATGAGTGGGCAGTCTAAAGGTCCTTCCAGAAAGATTCTTTTCTCCATGTGCCCACTCTACCTTCCTCTCCTCACACATCTCTTAAAAGCTCAGCAGCAAAGATGAAGCAGCCTGGTGGTCACAGATGCTTTGACTCTTCACCTGCTGTCTGCTTTGATGTTTCCTGCTTTCCTCTCCCCAAGTCAGATTTCATTTTCAGGACTTATGACTTGCAAAAGAAGAACATTGTGAAAGACAGAATCACCTTATTTACTTTTAGCTATGTGGTGAAAGGTCACCGCCCCCCCCCACCCCCAACCCAGGCCGTTGGCCATGATGGGGGGAGAGTGTCCTTCCAAATAAACCCGTGCCTGACTAATACCTTTTTGCTACTTAAAGGGTTTCGCTTCTTTGTTTAACTTCAGAGTGTCTCTTGGATTCATTAATGTGAGACTCTTAAAATATATAGAAGATATCAGTCTAATTCATGCCAAAACGTCAAAATAGAGTGAACCGCTGCTGAGGCAAGTTGACTTTGTACTTCATTTCTAGTTAGAAGATGAACTTGGTATTTCACAACAGCTAGTCGTATACCAATCGTGAGAAGAATTTCATTTTTCCTACTATGTGTGAAGTTTATGGCATCTCTTCTCTTCTGGCAGAGGACCTGGTGTCTCACAGTAGCATTGCCATCACTATGAAAACAGTCCTTGGCAAGTGCAACTTTAAGATATTTATAATTTAGCAGTAATTGTAAAGAGTAAAAAAGCCAAAGTCTTATTGTATGAGAAATTGGAGAGGCAGTGTGTTTTTTAAGTTCCAGCTTAGTGTAAAGTCAATGAGCCTTTTTAAAATAATCATACATCTTCTTTATAGAACAATTTAAAACTTCAGATGAACAGAAAGAAAATTAAAATCTCTAATTCTGTTACTTGGTATATGGTCTTCCTTTTTTCTCTTTATAGGAATAGTAGATTTAACTCTGATTTTCAGAACTTGTAGGTCTTAGGAAGAGGTACAAAATTTGCTTTGCATTTCTAAAAAAGAACTTAAAATATTGAACTTAAGATTAGCTTGGGAGTTGTGATACTTCATAATTATAGATGCTTTTACATTGCTAGCATTGTCATATGGGCTTCCATGGCAGCAATAGGAGCTTAATTCATTAAGTATTAGTCCAGAGCCTGTCTATCTTAGACTGTCATAGGGTCTGACCACCAGATTAAAGTCTCCTTGCTTTGTTCCTACTTTGAAGTCAAGTAAGCACCATTTGCACAACCCCACTCTCATACCCCCTCCCATTTCACATGAACAGTTTTTTCACCCTCCTCTCTCTGTAAACTTCATGTGGCTATTAACATGGGAAGAATCTGCCTTTTTGAGTTTGGCTGCATCTTATCATTAGCCACACTGGCTGTTTCCCAGTTACACTTTTTTTTGTTTAAAGCAGCAGCACAGAAGTTCCGGATAAGTTAAAGTTTCTAAAATTTCCTTTTACACATCAGGATAATAAAGCAGATGTCCGCACCCGTGCTACAGACCTGTGCCAGCAAGAGGATGCAGCTACGAGCTGCAGAATGGGACAGAAAAGCTGGAGTTGGCTGCAGAATCCCAAAAGTCTCTCTAAAATTGTGGAGCCTGGTTTGATCAGGACCCTGTTCAGAGAGCTGTTTCCTGTCTGGGGAGCAGCCCTCAGTTGCAACAATGTGAGTCGGGGAAGAGCTCTTCCACAGGTTTCTGTGCTATTCCCCATAACTTTGAACGGAGCACAGAAGCACATTTTTCTGTGTATATCTGTTTTATTATTATTATTTTAATCACACTCGAGTGATGAGCGAGTTTTTTGGTTTTAACTGGTTTCAACCTGTTCTCGGGGCTTCCCAGGTGGCTCAGTGGTAAAGAATCTGCCTGCCAATGCAGGAGACTTGGGTTCGATCCCTGGGTGGGAAAGATAACGCTGGAGGAGGAAATGGCAACCCACTCCAGTGTTCTTGCCTGGGAAATCCCACAGACAGAGGTGCCTGGGTGGCCACAGTCCCTGGGGTTGCAAAAGCCAGACACAACTTAGTGACTAAAACAACAGCCACAAACATCTTCTCTGAAATTGAGGTCCCCATGTCCCCCTTGTGAAAACAGTATTTTCTCGAGTGACCAGAAACCCAGGGGGACTGGTCAGGGCCCAGGCTGTGGTGGTTGCTGTTCCAGGGCACAGGAGAGTGTGTCGGAGCCAGAAAGGACCAGAGAAGCAGGGGGATGTAGCTGAGGCCCCCCCGGTCTGCTCTGCTGGGGCCAGGCAGCCCTGGGCAGGCTCACCCAACCTGACCTTCAGATTCCCCATCTGGAGAATAGAAATGACCAGGGCCTTCCCTCCCACCACGTTGAGAGGCTGCATAGATACAGGCAGCGTCCAGCTGAGCCCAAGAGAAGTGTTCAGGAAATGTTGAGTTTCTTTTTCCCTAAAGCTCTTCTCTTTGAACCCTCGCATTCTAGAGATGAGAGAACAACAGGATCCCACCCAGGTGAAATTATACCACATAGTAAGAGGAAGGTCTGAAACTCTGTTATGCTGCCTCCTAACAGTGGTTGAAAGTTATGTATTTTAACTAAGATTCTTTGTTCGGGGGTGTGAGGCGGGGTGCAGAGAGGATAAAGCAGGGTAAATAAGGAAGCTTTGAGTTCGTGTAGATAAATTTGATGAGCCAGTGGCTAGCCCTTCTGAACCCGGGAGCAGACTCTTCTGAAAATGGATTTGCAGGCAAAGGTAGTGGCAGAAATGGAAGGTGGAAAAGGGGCAGGTCAGGTAAGAAATGGAGTCCAGGGTCCCCTACCCAAGTTGGATGTAGGATCAGAAACTGTCAAGGATGGGGTGGAGGTGAAGACTGGGGGAGGGACAGAAGACTGGCAGAACCTGGGCAGCAGCAGTCCAAGTGGGTCCTGGTAACTTCTGCCTTCCCTGAGCCAGGTCAGAGCAGAACTTGTTGCTGAAGGGGTTGTGGGCCAGTGTTTAAGCGGGTTAGGCAACAAACCCATTGCAAAGTATTGATGAGAACCATTGCCATTGCCGGAGGAGGTGGCCGAACCAGTCTGTGAATTCCTGCAATGTCCTGTAGGCATTGAGATGGCTATCTTCTTAAATGAAATCAGGAAGTTTTTTGAGGCCTGCCAGGAGATTGTAATACAGTGAAATGAAAGCCCAACTTACCTGTTTTGTTTTGCCCTTAGATATTAGAGAAGGGAATAAATCATAGCAAGTAAAAACTTTTTTTATACCTTCCAGTCCTTAGCCTTTTAAAGGCTTCATTTGAAGAATAGCAGAGCTTGTTTTAAAAATGTACCTCAAGGGAGACTTCCCTAGCGGTCCAGTGGTGAGGACTCTATGTTTCCACTGCAGGGGCCTTGGGTTCAGTCCCTGAATGGGGAACTAAGATCCAGCAAGCCACAGAATGTGGCCAAAAATAGAAGTGGACATCTGGTAATAACTTAAGAGCCACTGTTTAAACTTGTTATCAGGCCTCGGCTTAGTGTGGGTTCATCTCTTTTAATAGGCAGAACAAGTTCACTGGGCATAACTCATCTTGTCTCCCTGTTGGATGACGTCACTCCAGATGACCTCATGACATCCAGGTCACTTGTTGGCTGGGTGACCCTTTCACGTGAAAGGTTGAGATTTAAGCATTCACATGTTGGGGTTTGCATGGTGAGGAACTTACCTTAGCGTTTGAACCCTGTGCTGCTAAAAGTCGGGTATGGAGGCTGTGATCCTCTGGATTCGGTTCTCCCTGCTCACAGAGAGTAGGCATGAGGCTGGCATTCACTAGCATTCGTTCAGCAAGTGCATGGGGCGCACAGGACACAGGAGGTAGAGGCTGCTGCCCTTGCGGACTGGGCAGCCCAGCAGGGAGGACCGCTGTGGAGAGGTCCTTCCCAAGAGTCACACGAGTGATTTATTTTCATGCCATAAAACTAGAACCATGGTTCTTCATTGGAGAAGAACTTGAAGGAAGCAACCTCAATGGAGCATACCAGTCCCCCTAGAAGCCAGTAAATCGCAAGGCTTTAAAATTCAAAACTTCCCACCCGCTGAGGCCTTCTGGATGCCGTGGGTTATCCAGACAAACCTCAGGCCGGGGCCACTGTGACCAGGGATGGTGCTCCAAGTCTGTGTGTACAGGTACCTGTGAGACTGTCGCCAAGTAGGATTTCCCCCGTGGCCCGTAGACTCACACTGTTTTTTTTTTTTTCCATTTATTTTTATTAGTTGGAGGCTAATTACTTTACAACATTGCAGTGGTTTTTGTCATACATTGAAATGAATTAGCCATGGATTTACATGTATTNTCCCCCAGTCCCGCCAGTGAGAGG